AGTTGAGTATATAAATAAATAAGGGAGAGTAAGAAAGAGATGAGGGAGCAATTATTTTAACTCATTGCTTCTAAAGCTGTATTCCATCTTAAGACCACTTACTAATTTTTTCATTATTCTATCCTTTCAAAGAAACTTGCATGTGAGAATCCCAAAGCTCATTATAAATTGTGTGAGTATATTGCCCCCATTTTACAGACAGGGCAACAGAGATTTCAGCCAACATTCTCCAAAAGTGATCATCAGTTCTAGGTGCCTAACTTGAGACAACTAGCCTCTGATTTTCAGTGGTGAAGCTCTCATTGAAGATAATGATGCACAGGACCTCTGAAAATCAGGGCCCAGACACCTCAAAATGAGCACCCAAAACAGAGGCCTTCACAATTAGCAGTCACTTTTATAAATTTAGGCCACTGTTCCTTGTCCAAGATCACACATCAATTCAATGGCAGAGTAGAGAATAAAATTCAAATCTCCGGATTCCCAATCCCTTACTTTAGCCAGTAGGCCATGTTAGCTTCACGGCCGTGCCACAATCCATCAGACTGTCAATGCATTATGTCTAAACACATTGCTAAATAGATTCTAATTTCAAATACATCAAAGGAATAATTATTATATTTCCTTAGCTGTAGTCTGTTGTTCCTGCTATCCAGTCTAATAACTAGTATTGCATTCTTTGGTTATCTTTTCGATTCAGTTCTATATGTTTACATTTGTAACAAGGTCTGGAGCTATTCTAATAAAAAATTCCAGGAGAACTACAGTTTGCTTGAGTCTTTAGCTGTAGCAAAAGAAAGAGTTGAAGCCTGCCCGTGGTCTGTTATGACAATCCAGTCTTCCAGGATATAGAGGCTCTCAAATTGTAATTAATGAAGGTAGAAAACATAGGGTTGGTACCTATTACTTTTCAGACCCTTGAGCAAACCACAGATCTCTCTCCACCACTAGGAGGTGGAAGCTAATGGAAAGCAGTTGCTGCACTTCACATGCATGCTCTACTTCATTCCAAATGCTCTTGCTGATTGGAATTTGTCTCAGTTCAGCAGCCTAGTAAAGCAGCCATTTCTGGCTCCCTTTTACAAAACCAAGATGTATTTTAATCCCTCAGAATTCACAAAGAAAAGCTGTAGTTCTCCCATTGTTAGCAGCCATCAATAGATCACTACATCAATAATCTACTGTCAACGGATGAACTGAGTGTTTTCAAGTGCGAGATAAATTAGAAAGAGAGGTTATTCAGATGTACCTGTCCGGGGTGCTGATTATACCAAAATAATCTGTCCAGGACCTCATCTTCTGCTGATTTCTCTTCTTTCCCAAGGTGAACTATGGCTCTGACCCCTTTTCTGATGCTCTAACACCTTCCCTGAGTTCCTCTGCTGCGGTTTGTGCCAGTATCTTCTCTCTGCTGCTTTGTGCAAAAGACATTTGCTTAGTCCTTATTCTTTATATAAAATTCTTAATTACAAATATTACATTTTTTATTATCACAGTAGTGCCCATAGGCCTGAGCCAAGGGCATGATCCCATTGTGCTGGTGCTGTGTATACATATAGTAAGGGAGCGTCCCTGCTCGACAGAGCTTACAGTCTAAATAGATGAAGGGGAACCAGAGGCCCAGAGAGTTGCCCAAGCTCACACAACATGTGAGTGGCAGAGCCAGGGTTAGACCTCAGCTCTCCTGAGTCCAAGTTAAGTGACCTATGCATTAGACAACAGCACCACACACTTTTGGTTGAAAAGTCAGAGCGCTGCTGTGAATGCCACTGAAGCCCCATAGCAGTTGTACTCCTTCCGTTCTGACAGCAAATATCAGTCACTCTTACCTGCCAGTGCGGTCAGTTTTAGCTTTTAAAAGAAATAAGCTGTAGAGATTTTTAACAGCTCCCCTGTGACACTCCTTAAACATTTAAAGAAAACAAGTTTGCAGATTTCACATTATTAATAGAAAAAGATCCCCCAAAGACCGACAAGTGCTCGTATTCTCAGGGGGCTGCCAAGAGTCAGGTTAGTGAGGGAGAATTTAGACCTAGATCCCTCTGGCTCCCCTGCTGCACAATGAGACTTTATTGTTATTTGGAAATAATTTGTGAAGAAAGATTTTGCTTATTTAACCAGACATGTAGCTGAGGAACAATATCGTCAGAATTCCAGCTTTATTTCTTTGCACAGTGGTGGAGATTTTGAAAGGAACACTGGGAATTTTGTCTGCTACTGCAATTATTTATTATTTTTTACTATGGCAGTACTGAAGGACCCAAACAGGATTGTGACCCCATCGCGCTTGGTGCTGTACAAAGCACACAGTAACAGATAGTCCCAGTCCCAAAGACCTTAGAATCCAAATAGACAAGCCAGACAAAAAATTATTATCCCTGCTTTACAGATGGGGAACTGACACACAAAGAAATTAAGTGACTTGCTCAAACTTACACTGGAAGTCTGTGGCAGAGCCAGGAATTCGATCCAGATCTCCTGAGTCCCAGTCCAGTGTCTTAACCACAAATCCTCTCTGTCTCCTCCTTTCTCTCTTTCTGTCTACATTATGGTGATTAACTAGATTTCTCTAAATGGTAGAGTTCCATTCTAAGTGGCAATGTAAAAAAATGGATACACAAGATTGATTTTTCTCTTTGTTACACTAATATAAATCAGGAGTAACTCCAATGAAGTCAGTGGAGTCACAGTGGCATAAAACTGGTGTGCTTGAGAATGTGCTTTGGTAAATACAGAACAATCTGCAATTATACAATTTCTCTAACAAAAAACAAATTACTCTGTACAAAACTGGAACACTTTTGTTATATGGAAATCACTAATAGCACAGATAAAATAGACCCACAGATAATGACACTGATCAGAAGATCCCAGCAGACTGGATTAAAAAGAAATTCATTATGTTATGTAATTCCATAATGTATATAGTGAGTCTCAAAATGAAGTGTCTTGACTTCATCAAGAAGAGCAAAACTTGTCTTGAGCACTATTTTAGATAATGCAGGAATAAAGACCAGCTCACCCCAAGGAATGCTGGTCATCAAATGATGATGTGTAGCTTGGCTTCTTCTGGTCATTTAATCTGTGTCTACACTAGCATTAGTCTAAATTTTCCAATGTTGCATTTTTAAACTGTAAGCGCTTTGGGGCAGAGACTATTGTATATTCCATTTTTGTACATTGCTTTACACAATGGAGCCCTGATCCCTCATAGGGGTCACTAGGTACTACAGGTGCATAAATGTAAATTAATATTACCAGTCATGTCATCAAGGCTCAGGCGTAGACAACATGGTGGTTAAAATGCCAGCTGCTGATCTACATTAGCATGCCCACCAGCTCTTACACAGATGGAGCTGGCTTTAAAAGGAACATGCAGCAATTGTCTAGGGCAGTGCTCTTCACTATTTTTGAAGTGGGGGCCTCTTTGGCAAGAAACCTTCAATGTGAGAGCCACATCAACTACTAAATTAACACATTGCTTACTACTCCTTAATGATGTAATGTTACAGAGCCTACAAAGTCTACTTGTACAATAAAACGATACTCCTTTTATAAAATAATAACCCAGAAAATATATGAAATTAAACAAAAAAGGCTTCATGCATGTTTCATTAAGCACAAAGAAAAACTCATCAGTCTATTTTTCTTGAAACTTTCGGTTTTCATCTTCCAAAACACGTACCTTTCTCTCTTTTTTTGGCTGGCTCTGGGAGGGAGCTCAAGGCTGGGGCAGGGGCAGGGGCTTGGGGTGTTGGGGAGGAAGCATGGAGGGCTGGCCCCAGGAAGCTGCAGGTTGGGGGGTGGAAGAGAAATGCTGGTCCAGCATAGCTAAGCCTGCTGTACTTATGCTACTCCTGGCCTTAATGCTGCAGAGCCATTCAGAACTTGGCCACTGAAGGGAGCAGCACTTACTTTGGGCGGCCCCAGCCCCATGCCACTCGCGGAAGAGGCCAGCGCACCCCTGCAGCCTCTGGGGGGGCACGTGGCTCAGTGCGCTGCCCCTCTCTGCGGGCACCACCCCCGCAACTCCCATTAGACACAGTTCCCCATTCCCGGCCAATGGGAGCTACAGGGGCAGTGCTTGAAGGCAAGAGCACTGCACAGAGACCTCTGCTCTCCCCCGGGGCCACGGGGGCATGCTGTCTGCTTCCGGGAGTGTTGTGGGGCCGGGGCAGGCAGGGAGCCTTAGCGGCAGCCCCGTTGCACCGCTGGAGATAGCCAGAGATTGCGATTGACAGGGAGCCGCGCTTAGGGTTGATGGGAGCCGCCACTGGCTCGCGGGCCTTGCAATGAAGAACACTGGTCTAGGGCCCGAGAACATCCCTTCTATTTGTGAATGCAATTTGAATGTTGAAGTAGTTTCATTTAAAAAAAACACCACCACCAGTATACGTCACTATTTATTTGCTCCATGAATCTCTTGGAAATAAAAGTATTGGTTATGCTGGAGAACTGGAAAGTGCAGAATTTACAGAAGATCATATCCTCTCCAGCAATGCCCCAACCCGATGGGTAGACAAATTCCTATATGCCCAAATTGTTTATATGATCACTTTGTATTCTACAACAGGAATGCTATAGTGTGCCCAAATCATTTACAAATATGAAAAAAGACCTATCTATGGTACTTATATGGCCCCCATCACTGTACTATCTGACATTTACTGTGATGTGAGATGAGGAATTCGTACTATCCCCATTTTATTGTTGAGGATCTGGGCCTAAATGACTTGCTGAATGTCACACAGGAAGTCTGTGGCAGAGCAGGAAATCAAATCCAGGTCTCCCAAATCCCAGGATTATGGCCTAAGCACTAGGCCTTCCTTTCTCTCTTATGCAGCATCAAGGTGTTAATGAAGGATATACTGACAGTTTATATATGCTGTGATATTCTTGTGTGCAGATGTACCATCAGTATACTGCAGTTTGCAGTTACATTGATATGGCCCTGTACCGCAGTTATATCATAGAGTCTCGTCATACTACTTCAATTTTTCAGAAATGAGAACTCTCCTACTGTACAAGGGAGCTATTGATCTTAAAAGCAAATGCATTTAATGATTGTCTCGATGCCAACTCTGCCGACATATCTACACCAGCGACACCATCACAGGACCTAACCAGATCAGCCACACCATCACCGGTTCATTCACCTGCATGTCCACCAATGTAATATACGCCATCATATGCCAGCAATGCTCCTCTGCTATGTACATCGGCCAAACTGGACAGTCCCTACGTAAAAGGATAAATGGACACAAATCAGATATTAGGAATGGCAATATACAAAAACCTGTAGGAGAACACTTCAACCTACCTGGACATACAATAGCAGATTTAAAGGTAGCCATCCTGCAGCAAAAAAACTTCAGGACCAGACTCCAAAGAGAAACTGCTGAGCTTCAGTTCATCTGCAAATTTGACACCATCAGCTCAGGATTAAACAAAGACTGTGAATGGCTATCCAACTACAGAAACAGTTTCTCCTCCCTTGGTGTTCACACCTCAACTGCTAGAAGAGGGCCTCATCCTCTTTGATTGAACTAACCTCGTTATCTCTAGCCTGACTCACTCTTGCTTGCATATTTATACCTGCCTCTGGAAATTTCCACTACGTGCATCCAAAGAAGTGGGTTTTCACACACAAAAGCTCATGCTCCAATATGTCTGTTAGTCTATAAGGTGCCACAGGACTCTTTGCTGCTTTTACAGATCCAGACTAACACGGCTACCCCTTTGATACTTGCATTTAATGAGTAGATCATGACATCTGAAGGGTAGTACTCTACTGAAACTCAACTTTTTTCTCTAGTGGACAGATCCCCTGCAGAGAGAGTGACTTCTTCACTAGGTTTTTGTTCTAAGAAGTTTCCAGACTTTAGCTGACCTTGTATGAAGGCTGCTTCTCAGCAAGTTGGAAACTCCGAACTAAGGATGGGTCTGAGCTGTGAAGATCAGGATCTGAATTTTTCCCAGGTTTTGGAGTGTTCACATTTGCATTTGTAGTTCAGGGCCCAAACTGCTGAGTTTGGATCTGAACTTTCCTAATGTTGGGGAGGTTCAAGTTCAGGTCTACTTTAAGCAAAAAGCACCTTTCCCAGCTACACAGTCAGGGCTGGCTCCAGCTTTTATGCCCCCCGAAGCGGCGAAGAAAAAAAAAAAAGAAAACCCCGATTGAGCTGCCGCCGAAGAAGAAGGTTAGTCAAGGACCCGCCGCCGAAT